GGGGGGGGCAGGAGCAGTAGGGCTGGGCCAGGGGAGATCGCAGAGGGGAGGGGATGGAAAACCAGCTCACAGGGGCAGCAGGGCTTGCCAGGACAGATCGGGAGAGAATCAGATGGCGGAGACAGCTGGGCTGGCCGGCGGGAGGGGAAAAATCAGCTAGCTGTGAGCAGTACAGTTCAGGGCGCACGCAGATCCTGAATAAAAATTGAAAAACAGTGCCTTTTAAATATCCCCACTGCTGACAGTGAGGTTTAAAGGCACTACCGTATGTCAGAATGGAGAGAACCTGGTGCATTCACCATCCGAAATGAGAATATGGATAAAAAATTCCAAAGATGGTGTCGGCTTTCTGAAAATAAATAAGCCCCTTTTCAATACATGAAATGATGGTCCAGGGTTTTATTGGATTACAGTCCATATTCCCTTAACTTGCTGGTAAGAATATTGTGAGTGGCCATATTAAAAGCTTTACTAAAGCTGGCTCTGGGAGGACCAAAACCACCATATTTGCATATTCATAATTTGCTTAATGAATATGCAAATATATGTTACCAGTCCTCTAAAAGCTCGTGAATGGATTTACTGGTCCCCATGTCAAAAAGTTTGGGAACCCCTGATCTATATGTTTTGTTGTCTATAAAGTGCTACCAGACCATTTGTTGTTTTTTAAGTTTAAATTATACTTGATGGTTTCAAAACTGCAAAGGAACAAGATGCCCTCTTGAGGCCACTGGTAGATAGATTCCAGTGCAGCATTCAGAAATGTTTTGGTGAAATAATTGAGGACCCGGACATAATAGCAGCTGACATCTTGATGCCAAATGTTAGGACTGCTTGTAACAAGATGAAACTGGGATTAGAAAAGGTAAGAGACTATGTCATTTTAGACAAATGAAACTGCAAAGAAGCTTGAAGGGTATTTGGCCTCTTCATGAGAGACCATGGAGCTGCTGCACTCTTCCTAGAATTAGGGAGCTGTGCGCCAGGGCCAACAGATCTCTTCTCCATCAGCTGCCTGTGAGAGATCCTTCTGTGTGATGGACTCATATATTTTCATAAAAGAGCAAGGATTGGTAATTTTGAAAAAAAAATTCTCCTATGGATGAACAAACATTTTGGAAATTAATCATTACAATGGAAAAATGCACACCGTGAATGTGGACAAAATAAATACATTTCTGTAATCTGACTTGTATTTAATTTGGTCCCTCTTCATCTTTATAAATGAAGGCAGTGAGTATCGTTAAATTCCATCATTGAAAAATGTATAGTATAGGTGTGCATATAATATAGAATTATATTATAAGTGTTTATATAAGCGTGTGTGTGTGTTAATGGTGACCTGCAAGAACTCGGGTGGTTAAGCATAGGGTTCCATAGGACAACTAATGTTTACCTTTGCATACTTAAGTACAATTAAGATAGGATACTTTTGTACTTTCACTGAAGTAGTTTTACAGAAGATTACTTTGATTTTTACTTACATTTGTTTCAAAGTAGCAGGACTTTGAGTTGCATTGCACAGAGTAGTTACAGTACAAGGCATTGCATTTGCACAGAGGAAAACAATGGAAATGGGGGGCAGAAACTGAGTAGCAATTCTGTGAGTCCCGGGAATAAGACAAGAGAAAAGTTCTGAGACTCTGTCCTGTCTTTAGCTCCCTGGTTACATTGTAAACACCTTTCAGATGCAGCAGCACAAACACACAGCTCCAGTGGGCCGGGCGCAGTGCGGGGGGGGGGGGCGGAAACTCGAGTGGGCTGGGCGAAGTGCGGGAGGGTCTGCAGCCTCCTGAGCCTGCCCAGCGCCTCCCAGGTGAATAAGGGATTAAAATAAATGTTGAAGGAAATACAAAGGCCCCTGGCCAGGACCACTCTCTGACTCGCGCCTCATCCCCCTGGGGAAGCTGCATTAACCCCTCCCCCCCCGCTGGGGCTTTGCTCTCGATGTTGCAGAGTTTACCTGGCGCCCCTCCCCTCACCAGAGCTGAGTCTGCCCAGACTCCGCCCCCTGCATCTGCCCCGTCCCCCGCCAAGTCCACGTGAAGCCGCTTCCCCCTCGAGACACTCACAGCGCGCGGGCAGAGAGACGGGCCAGGGCTCCGCCAGAACCGCTGCGCATGCGCAGTGCCCGGGCAGGAGCCCACAGTGGTCTCTCAGGTGAGCATCCCCCGCCCCCCTCCCCCCCGGGACCCACCAGACGCGCTGGACAGAAGCCGGGACTGGCCCACGTGGGCATCTCTCGGCCCCGCCCCCGCAACAAAGGGCCGGTCCCAGCGCCCCGCGCGCGCACCCGCCGCAGCTCCCCCG